AAACCAGCCAATTCACCTCATCTTTTATTCTTTGTGGTGGTGAATTCATTAAGTGGTTAGAAACTTACCTGCAGTAGGCATAGCTGCTAAATATTGCTGTCTTGACAAGAATATAGGTATTTAGCTGACTAAACTTGCCTACAGCTAAGGGAAGTAATACAATATGAGTAAGCTAATGGATTGAAGCCCAGGAAACGGACCATTCTTCTGAAGTAAAGCAGCAAGTTGTTAGATAAAAAGAATTTGTGTCCTTCTCAGAAACGCTACAAACCAGCTTCACCCAGTTTCTAAAGACAAATCACTGCTGAATTTAACTTTGAATTGAGCTGGCCAGAACATTAATGAGTTCAATGATGCCTCAGGCAAGAGGTTTTCAATACCATCACTCCAAATAACATGTAGCCACAAAGATCAATGAGTCCATAGGCTAAGCATTCCCAATGGCCTTTGTTATCTAAACTCATTTAAACTGGGTAAGAAAACTGTATGCAAAATGAGGCAAAAAGAAGCATTTAGGTGACGTTGTCTTGTATGCTGCACCCTGCCATCAGTAATTTGGCAGGTCAGGTTACAAGCAAAGACTGCAAAGTCAGTGTGGAAAATAAACCCCCAAAAACCACTGCAAAGCCAGTGTGGAAAACTGGGGAATATTTACAGGAGAAATGAGAGAATCTGAATTGCCAGAGGGATAGCAGCAATAATTATGCACACAGCAAAGTGGGGTACTCTGTTAATGTCCTTCAGATTTGTTACCCAGTTCCTTGCTATTCTTCTCCAACAGACTTTTTGTGTCTGAGGCAATTTTGATTAAGTCATCAATCCTGAGAGCCTTTCCTGAACTTCTGTCATTCTGTAGGCCTGGGGAAGAATAACTATCTGGTTTTAGCCAATAATAGGGAAACTGAAATATCCCTGCTTTTCTTTACCATCGCCCATTTTCCTTGCTTCTCCCAAATTGAACAAAAAATGAAAACCAAGTGCATATTAGCTCTACAGAAAGACACATAAATCTGATTTTTTGCCACACCAGGACATTTCAAAACTAATCATCTCGTGTATGAATTTTATAGAGCCACCGTTGCTCATTTTTGCGAGTTGCCTTGTTCCCTTAGATTGAAATTAAGCAATGAATCCCTAAAGGCTAATAGGTTTACATTTTGAAGTTTTATTCCGTGTTGGGCAAAACACCAGGACCAAGAGCTGACGTGCTGGCACCTGAATGTTTGGAGAGAGAAAAAGGGTCCTGGCCCATTATAGCCATCTTTCCAAGAGTTTTTCCACCTCCTCTCCCTGTAAATTGCCGCTGGAGTTGTTGTTCTAGCAACGCTAATGGCAATTAGGATCTGAAAGCTCTCGATCAATTAAAGCGGGCAGTCTCAGGCAGTAGGAGATTGCCACTGGGCTGGCTGGCAGCACTTCTTTTCCAAAGTTGTCCTTGTCCTTGTCCCTATAAACAGAGTCGGTAAGTAGACATTACTTACAGTGGCAGATAAGAACAGTATCCTTTCTTGATGTCTCATGAACCGCCTTTGCTTTTAGAATAAGTCTTAACAATTGGGAATCACTAGGCATAAAATACAGACTCAGAAGGCTTACATCTCTAAATAACAATTATCAGATTCCTCTTTGCAATAAGCAGAAGGCTTTTCATGTATCTAGAAATCTATTTAATATTTAATCGACTCCTAAATTATTCACAGGCTAAAGTGTTCAACTGTTGCTGTCATTTAAAGAGCAAGTGCCCAGCAGGAGTCTTTGTAGATCACGTCAAAGCATAATGTGTAGATCACGTCAAAGTATTCATTAAAGAAATGTTATACTTCCACCAAAGATAATAACATCCAATTTATATTCTTTTAAGCCTGGCCCGACTAATAAAAGGCACGGTGAGATTTTCTGGTTTGCTTCTTACCTACCTGCTCAGCAAAACTTTTCACCGTCTCACAAAAAATTTGGGATCCCAAGTCACTTGGTACTGTTCCAAGAAAATCCATGAACTCTTATTAGGTGGAGAAACTTCCATTTTTTTTCTGCAGTCCTGGATAACTATAACAATATGCTTAGTTTTGAGTGTAGTTTATAAGACTGCTCAGCTTTCTGGTAATGGTATGCACACATAGAATATCTAGAGTTTGACATTGGTGTAAATCAGGGTAACTCCCCAAAGTTTGTCAGAAACTGGGATCTAGTTTTTTGCCTCCTAAGGAAATGTCATCCCCGATGTTCTCATTTCCTCAAGCTTTCCCTGCTCACATAAATTGAACATAGTAAAACTAAGTTCCCATGATGTATTTTTGCTTTCTGGTGTCTGCTCAAATCCCTTGAAAACTTTGTTAAAAAGCACTTTTGGAAAATAAAACAGGAAAATCAAAAACGAGGAAGAGGAGGAAGGAAGTTTTCTTCACTTAAAAGCCTCTTTGGCAAGGACCATCTTTCCTACTCTGCATTTTGTAAGCACCTTTTCCTACTGGATATTGGTTTGTGCATTTCCTCCGTCCCGTCGGTAATCTAAATAACTTAAACACAGTGAAAGCTTCATTTTTGTTTTTATATATATATACATATACATATATATATATATCTATAATATAAAGTGCCTATCCTCCCTATGCTCCTGCCCCACGGGGCCCATTGACCATGGTGCCACACAAGGACATGTGTCCTGAAGGACTTGGTGGCAGTGGTTGGCAGCACTGGTGTGGTGGCTGTACCCGAACAGCCACCCCGTTCGTTCCCCAGGCATGACTCCCCTGTTTGGAGAGGGCAAAGCAGAGGAATCCCCCAGGTCTTCCCTATTTGCTCTTGGGATTTTGGGAGTGTGGGGAGGAAGCAGCTATGCCGGGGCTCCCCCAGCAGCAGGGTGGCAGCCCTTAGGCTTGCTCTCCCAGCAAGAGCTTTGCTGAGGCATTCGTGAACATTTTGTCTGTAATAGGAGGGAGGGAAAAAAATCAAGGCTTGTCCTGCAAAACCTTGACTAGCTTGCTTATCATAGTGATAGGGAACTCAAAAAGGATACAGTAAAATCGCCTAGGGATTTCTTATTAGGTGTTCATGGAGATCTTTTACCAGTGAGAAGAGGATATGTATAAGCTAGGATGAGCCTTTCCATTTATACGCTGATAAGAAACTGCACATTGTTTAGTACTGATTTTCCTCAAGAGAGGGAGTTTAATTCTCTGTTTTATGGACAGGCTTCTCTCCAAACAATAATATTTTATTACTCTGTTTTACAACACAAGCAATCATATACTACCTAGAAATACAGAGCATATGTAGATGAGGGGAAGACCCTAAGTAGCCCTTGCAAAACATCTAGGATGAGGGAGAATGACCGCAGGGTCCTGAAGAGGTAGAGGCTCCTTTAGAAACATCAGAAAGATGGGAAAATGGAAGCCTTGATGTCCGTTGATCTTCAGCTAACGTCCAGGAATCATTCCCATGTGTACCAGCTGACCCTGCTCCCAGAGCACTGATTTCTTTTCAGTCCCCAGAGCTGCTCTTTTTTTTTTTTTTTTTTTTTTAAAGCTGCTGTGCTGACTCTTCAAAGGGTGCTGGATTTTCATTTGATGAATTACAGAGTTACCTATCCTTGTCTGTTAATTGGATGGAGAAATTTCTCCATGACTTGTTTTCAAAGTCATAACGGCATTATTTCTTACTTTATGTCTGTAAGGTTTTGAGTGGAAGGCAACTAAACTGTTCTGATACTATTTCAGGTAATTGAGATACTTGTTTTCATTTTGGGGTTTGAGGGCGCCCTCAGGTTGTGTGTTTGTTTTGTAGGTAAGATCTGCTGAAATGGTTACTGTTGCGCATTTATCTCTATGAGAAATAGTTCCTTTAAGTGGAGAGGCTAATCCCATGCCTCGGACAGAGGGTTATTTTTACATAATTATTTGTCCAGCTCCTCAGTAATGTGATATCAGGAAACAAGAATGATAATGTGACACTGTGCTAAGTAAACCCCCATCAAGACACTAAGAGGACTTTGTTGGGATTAGAAACTTGATACAGTCTTTTCCTTTGTCACAGAAGCATGTTTTCCAGCAGACAGACATGTTAGGTCTTTCCAGCCGTAAGGTACGTGGGGTACTCATCGATTGCCACGTTTCAGAGAAATAAAGTGAGTGGCAGGTTGGAAAGGGAAGACAAGGGAACGGGGTGTGCAGGAGATAGCCCAGCCCTGCGATCGGGTGAAGAGCCTGCAGGGCTTCTCCCTGCCTCAGTGTCAGCGTCTCTCCCACACAGATTTTTTAAGCACATACTTGGACCTCAGCGGAAATCGGCCAGGAAAATATTGCGAGATAAATACTCCGGAGCTGTATACAGCTGTCATTTGTGGAGCACAAATTTGCTCATAGTCTTTTCTACCTTTGCTCACATTTTGATCGTGAGGCTAAAGCATGGGATACAGCCTGGTTGTCTCAGGCATCTCATTTACCTCCAAAGTGTAAGATGCCGAGTGGGTCGGTCCTTCTAAAGTAGATCCTCAGGTTTCCATGTCGAGGTGATGGAGAGCTGGGTTTCTCCTGCCGGCCTCCAGCAGGAGGGTCACTGGGCTCAGAAGAGCAGCAATCCCTCCTGGAGGCTTTCACAGGCCATTACCTCTGTCCAACAGCACAGGGGCACGTGGGGACATACTCAGGGAGCGTCCATCTGCTGGATACGTGGCAGTCAAGCGTTCAGGCTAGGTTGTCTCGCCTGAAGTGCATAGACTTCCAGTTCCTTCCAGTGCCGGGTTCTGTCAGAGGTATCCAATGATGGGGAACCTTGCTCTGCACCACAGGTGGGGTATGAGGTGCCACCTGGAGCAAAGCGGGGGTTTTCTCTATAATGTATTTTAGACGACACGACTGCTGCCTGTAGTAAAAGTTGTCTGGTCTGTGCTTTGCATTGGCATGTTTGGATTAATGCTGCTACCTTATTTCAGCACTGGGTGGTGGAAGGTGAGCAAGGCGTCCGTATTAAGAGCTGTTTCTGCTCTGGTTTCTCTTTCCCAGGGATATGAAGCTGGATGGTGGACGCCAGTGCCATTCTACTGGAGTGTGCCTGAAAGAGATAATTGGTCTTGAAGGTGTGGAGCTCGGAGCGGATGGGAAGGTGGGGATGCTTCGGTTCCTACTCCCTTAGATTTTATGTAATAAGGGAAAAAATGGCTTAACTAATAACAAGCACAAATATAAACGTAAGTTATAACATGCAGTGTAGCACAGTAGCTAAAGCACAGTATGTGCAAACTGTAAATCAGCTTAGCAGAAATTCAGGAGGACTGCCCAAGCTGTCAATGCAAACAACTCTGGCTCCTTGAACAAATTTGCCTCTGGCAGCATCTGAGTCTGTAAAGCATTACTGAATCACGCAGCCTTCCCCTGGCTCTGGCAGGAGGTATCACTGCAGAGTATATTGTCAGGGGCTTGAAAATAATTTCTGTTGAGAGTCGTAAGCTGTAATTCTGTTTGCTTTCAATTTTATTTAATAAAATAAACTTTGTTTAACAGTATATTTTTCCAAAGAGCAGGAAGACAGTAGTACAAATCTGATGAGTATTTCAAAATCCAAGAGTGCATTCACTTGAATAGAATAAGCAATTACAAATCTTCAGGGAAAGTAATCCTTTTTAAACAAATACATAGAAGAGAGACAATGTTAATCAAAAATGAAAGCATTTTTTTGCTGAAAGCCTGATTTACTTTTTACAGTTCAGTTTACCCAGCCTGCTGTAATATATGGACTTAAAGGCCCTAGGTCAATGCTGCTACACATGGTGTGCTCACCTAACCAGGTGTCAGGCCAGACCACAGGCTGTAAATTCCTGAGGACAATCTGTCTGCTTATAAATAAATGAAAGCTCAAATGTTTTATTTGATACCTGTTCTGACCTCCTCGTAAACCAGTCTGGAGTCTGAGACTTTTTTTTTCTTCAATATAGTGTTATTTTTGGAAAATAAACCTACAAGAAGCAAGGCATAGCCTACTCCTGGCCAAGGGTAAAAGCAGAGAATCAGTATGCTCTAAAAATAATTTTGTCACAAGTTACTCATTCACACTTAGTCTGTGTTGGGAGGTAATAAATGATCTCCCACAACCATTGCTATAAACCAGAGCTCACTTACGACACCAATAAGACTCTGCCAGACAAAATCCTAAAGGAGAAAAATACCAGAGAAAGTGCTTAAGTTTAGTAATGATCAAGTGATTTGCCTCTGGCAGCTCTGTGCTGAGGGACCCATACAGATGCTGTTCCAGTGAAGGAGCTGAAATCTGCCACAGAGAAGGTCCACTGGAAAAAAACCTGACCAAACTGACATATTTCTAAATCTGACCCTTGAGTAGGATTTTGTAAATCCAGTGTATTAGAGCTTGTGTGTGTGCTTGTGGTTTTGTTTTGTTGAAGAATTAATGCCTTTGCAAAAGCTTTTTTTGCATGGATAAACTGACTGCACTGAAGCAAATGTAGGTGGCTGGTGTTTATTCATCTGTGCCTAACTATTAAATCCAGAAAATCCATCGCTAATTTGGCTTCCCTTGCCTCCAATTGGGATGCACCAAAGGCATCCCACTGCGGCCGAGTTGGGCTGATAGTAACTGTCTGTTCTGACTTTCTTTTTAGACGGTTTCTTATACACAATTCCTATTTCCCACCAATGCTCTGGGAACTCGGAGAAACACAATAGACTCCACCTCATCCTTCTCCCAGTTTCGCAATGCAAGCCATCGTAGCCTTTCTTTGGCAAGAGCTAACAGCACCCAGGGGAGCATTGATGCAGGTAACTTCTCAAGAAATGTTCTAATAGCCTTGCATAGCTTGGTGACAGGCAGTTATTGTGAAGGATGGACATATGTCATGTTTTAGCCCCCTCTTTTTGCTTAAATGAGGCAAAATACAGTCTCATGTTGTGGGTGAAACAGAGCTTGTTCCCTGTTTTCTTTAGCAAAGCTGGCTTACAGAGGATGGAAAGTTAAGTAAACAAGACTGTTGGTCGTATTGACAGCCCCTGATGGCACCCGGCATGCCTCCTCCTGTCACCGGCATTGTTTGTTCCTCCCGCATCAGGCTCATCGTTGCCTTCCTTTGCTATGGAAAATTTACAGGGTCAACACAAGCTGAAGGTGTAAATCATACTTGTGACCTTTATTAGGCTGGAAAGGGCTGTGTTTACAAAACCAGGCACAAAATGTAAGCCAGAGCACTATATGCTTAAGATATTTTGGCATGGTAAATGAAACAAATCAAAACATCTGCATAAACAGATGAAAACCTGTTTCTGGGAATAAAAGTAATGCTTTATATAATTTTGCAGTTCTCTAAGCCCTAAATTCACATTTACCAGGTAATTAATAAGCTCTGTATCTCTATAAGGTCCTCTATATCTTTGCAAATTTTATTAGCAGAGTTTTCAAGATTAGCTAAATCTTCCGACTCTTTGAAAAATCTTGCATGAGGACCATCTTGTGCATTATCTGTGAACTCGTTTGCCACTTCTGTTAAGTCTGGAGATTTCTTGATGTAATGATTTCCTTTCTTACATTTACCATTGTTTTATAGGTAGTGACCTGGGAGACTTTGTTGAATATGACCCAAATCTTTTAGATGATCCCCAATGGCCATGTGGCAAACATAAGCGGGTTCTAATATTTCCTTCATATATGGTAAGTGATATGCAAAATTAGGTGTAGCACAGATAAATTCTGGTAACAATATTTTGAAGGTTGAGGTAACATTTGGCCATATTTTAAGAAGATTATTATTATTTTTAATCTACTAATAACAGCTGTTTGGAATGCTTTGTTCTGTATGACAGTTACTTACCGGGACATGTAAAAACAAACTCGTGGAGGTATTACAAAAGTAAATGCTTTTATTACCGCTGTAGTTCATAAATGCTTTAGATGAAAGGCTTGTTCGAACAATGTGTTCATTTTCTCGCATTCAGAGGAAAACTCGTACTTCCCCTAACTGGCATCTATTACAAAATAGGAGGATGCCCATTAGGGTTTTTCTGAAGTCATGAAGCTGCATTGTGTTTTGATGCCTATCATTCACTCCTCAGAACAGCGCTTTGGTGTCTAGTAGAGCCTTTGTTTCCCAGGTATTTATTTCACCATGGGATAGTCCTTCCTTTAACTCCGGCTATTACGAGCAGAGCCTGTATATTTTTCACTATATCCAAACCTGTAACAATACAGACGCATAACTGTTCCTTGATCCATGCTCTCACTCAATGTTTTCTGTGGTGAAAGACTTCTGTAGCCTTTTTTTCGGTTGCACCAAGTCTGTAGACTTTGGTGTCTTATTTTGGCAGGACTGTTGCAAGATGCAGTGCCATCACATGCATGTGAGCATGTATCTGTCTGAATTATACATCCAAAGCAGTAGTAGGCAGCAGGGAAAAGCTTTTTTTTTTCCCAAAGTGGTGACCTAGTATGCTTATCTATATACAAATAGGATAGGATTTGAAACACTGAGGTCTAAAGTGTCGTCCATGTCCCCACTTAACAGAGATATGATTTAAGAAACTACTAATGTATGTAAAGATACACTCTTTGTGGGTTCTTTTCTGCCCCCCACCCTGGTCTTTATTTGATAAATACTCTTGGGTTCTCCATCTCCAAAATAAACGGATTTTACATGTTCCATGTAGACTGAAGCTTATCTCCTTGCTGGCAGGAGTGTTCTGCCTGTTGCACAGAAAGGCTTAATCGAGCTCTGAGGCTGTTGTTTGTGCTAAATGTTCAAGTGGGAGGTCCAGTATGTCCTCCGCTTACTTTCAGCCAGTTTTACTTTTAGGGTTGGCAAGTTATCTTTTGGCTGCCAACCCACAAAGTGTCAACCTCTTCTGGCAGCTACCTCTGGGTGGGAAAATATTTGTTGGGCTTGGATAGGGTTATTGTCATGGACAGGGAACTGTCTTCCCTCAAAGAGAAAGATGTTGTTAACTGGCATCCATGGTGAAGATAGCTTTAGCAGTCGTGGTTGTGTTTCTAGCCTTCCTCAGGCTGCAAATGTGCACCAAGCAGTCTGAGTCTTCTTGGATCACCTGAGATCTTTGATCCCTTTTCACCGTGGTACTGAGATGGACATGGTTGGGCAAGTCGGAACAGGACAGCCAGGGTAGCGTCCTGCAGGGGAGGTCTCCGAGGCCCTGGAGCGGACGTTCGATGCCCTTCTTTTCCGTATGCTGGTTAACCACAGCGTTTTGAGGTACTTTTATTGCAGTGAGGACTGGGGATTTCCACTGCGACAGAGGTATGATCAGATGCTTTAAAGGTGAAAAATGGACTTCAAGGGCAGTTGTTAAAATCAATGTCATTGTTTGTCTAGAGTACATCTGCATTGACAGGGGTCTCCCTGCTTTTTCATTTTCTTTGGGGTTTAATTACTGCTGTGTCTGGAAAAATGCCTTATTTCACATTTTGGGGTTTTTTTGCCTGAATTTGCCTTCTAGCCGTCACTTCTTCAGCACTCGCCTCTCCCACTCTGAAGGCAGGCACTAATCTAAGAAAGGGCTGAAAGGCATTAAGTGCTGTGTTTCTTTCGTTGGTGGGAATAACTGGCACATGCCGAGAGCTCTCTTGTCCAAAGTCCAAGGATTTTGCCTGCCCCTGGTTGAAGCAGCATAGCCGTGATGCCACGCAGGAGCTAAACAGCTTTGCAAGAAACCAAAGAGTGAGGGGTTGTTCTTCAGGGCTCAGCTGAGAGATTTCCTTCAGCCGCAAGAAGGGAGAAAAGGTAGTGTCGGAGTGTCCCGGGAGCTTGCAGGTTAAATAGGATTTGGCAACTCGGGCTGCGGGTAAGGAGGGCTTGTGCATCAAGCTGGTGAATATAGGGCTATCCTGGCTATATAGGAGGCTTTACCCGCATCCATATTAGACTTTCTGGACTCAGCTGGCATTCCCCCTCCCTGCAGTTGACATCAGTGTGAACTGGAGCATAATAGGCTGTAATTTCAAGTCATTTACTTCCCCAAATCTAAAAATCGGCGTATGCTGCAATTAAAGCAAATTGCAGTCTGAGGCCAGCGAGAAACCTGTGTTTTTTTTCCTGACCGTGCGCAGCCATGGCGGTGGTGAGAGACCTCTGCCAAACGACCGCGGAGCTGCGGAGCTGCTGTACACAGATGGAAACAGGTCTCTGGTCCTGAGCAGAATACAGCTGTAATTACTGCCTCTCGCAAGTGCCGGAGCAGCTGAGAGCGGCTCTGATGTCAGCACCGAACATTTTGTTGTGTGTGGAGAGCTGCAGCTTGTAATTAAAGTTTCATTACTTGGCCAGCATTTAGCATTAATGCTTGGCAGCTGCACGCTTGTGGATATTTCTCCCCCCGCCGCCCCTTACGGATGCCAGAGCAGCTAACGGGGGGGGGAAGGTGTGCGAGAGGAATGCGAACACACGGCGGGCGGTGTGGATGAGCGGGGCTGGATGCTGGGCAGCGGCGCTGACTGCGGAACAGGACTATGTCCACCGATACTGCTCCTGGGAGCCTGGCTCGTACTTGGCGGGCCAGGATTTCTCCGCTGGTAAAACTCGGTTGAGGCTTTGCGTGACTGCTGCATCAGTAACGACTGCAGCCTTTATCCTGAGGCACAGGGCAGGCAAAATGTGTGGTCCTGCCTGGCTTCTATTCTGAAATACGTGCCGTTAGCGCTCGAACCTACGCAACGTGCAGTTCCCTCACGTTTTTGTGGAGCCTGAGTTTATCATCACTGACATCGACTTTATAGTCTCATAACTCGACGGGGCTGAATTAGTCCTGACTTGCAGAGGATTTTTAACTGCAAGTCCTCAGCTGTTTTCAAGGGGTAGCTGAGCTTCTTCCTTGAAGACAGCTGTGGAGAAGGAGAAGAGAAGTGCTTTCCGTCTGGTCTTTTTCTACAGTGAAGTTCCTAGCTTGAAAGGGTATGCACTTCCCTGCTGCATTTCTAAAAGTAATACCTGCAAACGGCCTGTCAGGGGATCATTCCGAAAAAGCAGCTTCAGTACTTTCCCAGCATAAACTTTACGGCTTCTTTTAATTGTGTTAGTCATATTTAAATTCCGGTCTACCCCAGAGAAATTATTTTGCTTTATGTTGGCTTTGTAGGAGAGTCTACAATCTCTACCGCAATATAAACAGTAAGAGGTAGAAGAATTTCATGCTGGGGGGCAGGGGGAGGAGGGAAACACCATGTCACGGTTAACAGATGTCTTCCTGGCTGATACTGCTGAAACAGGAATTCTTGCAGATTCTTAAATCTCTCTAGAATGGGAACTTTATCTACCAGACAGAGCAGTAATTTCTGTGCTTGAGTCTCACATTGACCAGGGTGCATCCAAACTCGTCGGTGCCTCCCTGCCTTCTTGCCAGCAGAAACACTCCTTCCGTGCAGGAGTAGCATCTTGACTTCGAGTGACCCTTCTGTAATAACATCCCTGCAATATCCATCTATCCGTGCGCAAGGGATACACTTGGAAATTGGTTCGGGTACTTAACTACAATTTCAGTGCATTGGTTTAATTATGTCAAAATAAATTGACATCTGTACACCAGTAATAAAAAAAGCGTGTCGCAGAAGTCTGCAGTGCTCTTACAGCGGGGCTGACTGTCAGCCTGCGTTTGCCAGGACCTAGCGTCGAGCACAGCCAGGCTGCGTTATTAAATATTAGTCCTCCAATGTGATTTTAAAATTAGAACTGCTTGCTGCCCAGGCTGTTGAATCCAACAAAAGCCCTGCACGATGATATAGCGCATTCGGTCTCTTGCTCCCCCATTCTGTCTTTCACAAGGAGCATCAAGGTCAGGAGCGCTCTGCTGCAGCCAGCGTCCTTCGGTGCCGTCACCCTATTCTTCAGGCCGCTTCCGTAGCTGTAAATTAAGCATCTCCAGACTGCTTTTTTATCAGCTGCTGACCTTGTACCCAAAAGCTTTCAGGGAGCAGAGGATCGCAGTGGTGGTATATAGCCGCATTTAAACCCTGTGCTGGATGCATTTGATGCTATATTTGGCTGAGTCTCCAATGAGCACATACTTTGTAACAATGACACACTGTATTAATTGAGAATTATTTCAGTGTGTTAACCAAGTAAAATAAACTGGCACCCTTCCATGTACTTTAATTCAAAGAGGCAGTTTGGAGATTATTTGCTTTGTGAAATTCTAAATCTTTCCATTTAAAATCCTTGAATACTAATAACTTTCTAACAACAGAAACATCTTCTTTTAGTCTTCCTTTTCCTTTTTTTTTTTTTTAAATTGTAAAGAAGGAGTCTCTCTCACTTCCTATCACTGTTTTAAGCCTCTGCTCTAGCAGGATTTCCCATGTATATGCATCTTCAGCCGTAAGTATATGCATTAGGTTACTGACAGTTTATGGCTGCATAGCTGGTCTCCTATGATATGCATTAAGGTAGCCAGGCAGTGCAGAGGCATTGACTTCTTTTCATTTGTTATGTGGTTGAGAACTTCCAGTTGGCCTACTCGCGGTCTGTTGAAGGTATCCGTCTTCTGTCTGCTCTCTGTGAAGTAGATTTGTCAGGGGGTACACAGTAACGAGAGCTGAAGAGAGCATATCGTATACCTTTCCTTTTATTCACTATTTTATTCTGATTTTATCCTTCTTAAGTGGGAGATAGAGGCATCCAAGGCTAGATCATCTTTTACTGGTAACATGCC